GACTTCCAGTCCAGTAATTCTCAACGGGGATATACCTGTTGAACCAAGTCAAGGGGGCCTAGAGCATGCATGGACAATACACCCACATTGAGGATAGTGGAGCCAGTTTCTCGGGTCCCTCTTCTCGTGCCCTGCTCACTCTTGGGTGTGGCATGCCTTCTGCCACTGTCTTTGTCAGCATCTTTGTTGTGTTGCAGTTAGCTCCTCAGGGCTGGCTTGTTGAGGCCAGTGTTTCCACTGCCTGCACTCTCACTCTCCTTGCTATGATGGACATGGGTGTGGATGAGGCCTGAGATGGTGGTCTGCCTCATCCCAAGGGATCCTCGGTTGAACGAGTAGCCCTGTCCAGGGTTCCTCCTTATTTATATATATTCTAAGCCCCTGGGTGGCTCAGAGACATCTGAAAGCTCTATCTCCACCTGGTAGTCCTCACTAAGGTACTCCAGGGCATTCCTCCCCAGGACCATTTGTCAACCTCCTCTTTAACCACATATCAGGGAGCAGATCTCCCATCTGCACCCCTCGCTGCTCCATCTTCTTCTCTTCCTATAGCCCCAGTTGCCTTTTCCCTTATACGGTCCCAGACACAGGGCCCTCCTTTCCCCTCTAGGAGTCACTTCACTGGGCTGGGAATGCCTGCATGTGCCTCTCCCTCCAGGACCTCCATTTATGTTCTTTCTTCCTGCCATCTGGGATCTTCTCATTTTGGTTCCCCCAGAGTTCACTCCGCCAGTTCTGTCTCTCCCATGTCTACCAGGGAACTGACTGTCCAGAGTTCCACAGGATGATGGTGAGATGTCCTGCCAACAGGGGCACTCTGGACACTTGTGCCCCTGTTCCCAGTCCTACAACGTGCAATGGAGAACTGACCTCCTGACTTCTAACTCCACACCTAGGTATCCAAATTCATTTTCTTTCTTTCTTTTTCTCAGATATACCACTATGGAATAGGAATTAAAATTCTAATTCCGTATTATGAGACTACAGCCAAAAACCTACTGTCTTGTGTAGTAAATAACACTGGACTAGGCCCAGGGGATTTGGTGATTCACCTCCTCTGTAAGCATCTCTGTAAGCATTGATTCAAGCAGGCCTACTCTAACTGTGATTTTCAGAAATAAAATATTCCTGATTTCCTCATAAGGATTCCAAGACTCCAGTAGAATCCCTTTCATGGTCAGGAAGCTATATTATTTTCTGATATAACTGCAGAAAAAACTAATCTGATTTTTTTTTTTCAAAATAAATCACTGGGGTTTTTTAATATATGATATGGGTCTTCTAAAAATAAACCTGTATCTTTGACATATGAAAAAATATTATTAAGGTCTTATCAAGTAAGTGTGCATTTTTGGGGAGGAGTCATGTAATTAAATAAAGCCTTTCTAATTAGAGATTTAAATCAAGTGGCACTTTTACTTCCCTTGACCCTACACACTACACAACCTAGAATTACATTACTATGTTTGGCTACTACATCATATTGTTGGCTTATGCTTAACTTGTATTCTGTAAAGATGCCAAGAATTGTTTTTACATATATTACCGCCAAGCCATGTATCATCTACGTTTGTATATATGATTTTTCCTGCCTAAATTTTACATGCATAATTTTCTATTTATTTCTGTTAAAATGCATTGTGTGCATCTTAATTCAGCTCTATAATATATGAACATCAGCTTGAATCTGGATTCTGTCCTCTGACCCCAAACATTGAACATATTCGAAGGGAAAAAAGTAAAAGTTAAGCACATACTTAGCTTAGTAGATTATACATAAATTAAACCTCCAACATAAGCACTTGTTATGCAGAGTAAATTATACAATACAATAAGCTCCCAGATTCAAACCTACTGCATTGCTAACTAACAAATCTAAGGAAGCAGGCTAGGAAATTATCTTCGCCTGGAGCCTTGGGAAGTTACTGTCCCCTAGGAGCAGCTGCATGGAATGGTGAAACAGCAGAAAATCGGCATAACCCAAATCTTTAATTCTTTTTCACGGTACTTTTTCTAAAAGTGCTTCTACCTAGCTGCCTGGATTTCAGATTTCAGTGTCCTTTTCAAGAATGAAGAAAGCAACCAAGTCTTCTTTAAAAAAAAACACCCTGCTGGAAAAATGAATATAGATAATAGGTACATTAATGCATCACACAGTGACTAAATTATCAAGTCAGCTTTGATTGTAAAGGCCAGAATGCACCACATTAAACTGTGTGACCTCCAATTATGCATAATTATGTTTGTTCCCATTATTTAATATTCAAATTATCTAATTTGTGTTTATCCAGAACATGTCTGGAAAAAAAATATTCTTTCAATTTGAACACTATGCTTTGTTTCCTCTCTTAGTACATGTATAACGTCTCTTAAAGTAGTAAACCCTCTCGACACCGTGAAGTCTCCAGCTTCCTGTTCTTCCTCAGAACAAAAAAAACATTCAGGAGCTCATTTTCCTTTTTCCTCCCCGCAAAATAAATAAATAAATAAATAAAACTATGTCAGATACCCTGTAACAATGGAGAAGGCAAGGAGAGGACATTCTGACCCATCCTGGCCAAAGGACTAAGGGCCCCTCAATCTCCTCCTTAGAGGCAAGGCTCGCTGGAGCCCATGCACAAAGAACTATGGATTAAAGCTATGTTTGAAACAGACCATGGCACACCAGCTTTTATCTGATGTGTGCATCCCCTTTTCAAGAACGTGATATCAAAATAACTAATAACTAGTGCGAGGAAATGTATCAACCAGGTACCGCTAACGTTATTTTTACAAGGATTGAAGAGCCAAATTTGTTCAGGCCCTTCTGAAGTGATACACATTGTCAGCCAGACCACTGCTGCACTATATGGGAAATTTTCCATTTGAAACCAGCCCAAATACAAACAATTTTTAAAAACCCATCGTGTCCCACTGATTTTCATTGTTAGATAATTCTTAACAATGACATAACAATATTTTGCTAAGTCAAACATTCCAGCTAAACTATTTTTTATCATTAGACTTCTATAATTAGCATAAAGAAGGTTTACTGGGTTTTGTATTTGTTTTTTAATATCTTTACAGGCTTGGCTACTGTTAATAGCCTTTTCCAGATAAAGCCTTGCTTCTGTTCATGCTGATAACACATTGTTGGGAACTGTCCTTGAACTGGAAGAACAACGTTGCTTAGTAAATTCCCTTTACAAACTCTCACTGTATTGAAGCAAGCTAAAGTAGTTTTACTTTGTATTACAACCAGACATAATGCAGTTAGTTCCGTGACAACTCATGCCTATCCTTCCAGCATAGGTCTTGTTTCTCTCTTTCTCACTCTCTCTCATTCTTTCTCTTTTTTTCTTTTTTCTTTTTTTGTAAAACAAAAAGCCTATCAAATTTTTGGAACACTTCACCCTATTTTAGGTCTATCTTTAGCGACACACCGAAAATGTATTTCCAATTAAGTTGAGAACAACCCATTAACAAAAAAATCTATTTATTGAATGACATGGCTATAGTGGAGGGAGTGAAGCATCAGTTCGACCAAATGAGAGAAAAGCAATACATAGGACAAAACACTGGATAGATTTAGATGTACACACTGGGGCTTATTAAGCCAAAATACACACAACACTTGTACCCTTACACTTCAGACGTTCTCAGTATATCACAGGTGTAAGATTTCTTGGAAAAATTAGCCACTACATCTAACCCAGGTAACTCTTCTTTCCAGGTCTGCCACAAATTAAGATCTGGAACCACAATTCTAAAGTTAATTTTAGATAATGGCTTGCATCCTTTCACAATGTGTGATCCTATCTTGTACAAGATGAAGTACTAGAAGTACCAATCACTACCGTTGTAAATATGTGATTTTTCAATTCGCATGCATGCTATTGTTTAAAAAAAGGGCACTTTTCTTCTTAGCAAGCTTCTCTCAGTTTTAACAGCTGTAAGACTGGATGTCATTTAATAGAAAGAAGTTACCTATTGATTTTTTTTTTAATTCTAGTTTATAAGGCAATAAATGAAATTCCTCCTGAAGCATCATTTTCTGAAATAAATGAGTTTCTTGTTGGCCTATGAACTCTGGGCTTGGTGGTACCATTTTATGTCAGTATTATTTCCCTTTCTTTTTAAAATCCTTGCTGGATGTGTGATGCTCTTACTCAAAAGAGCATGCTAGGACCACACATACTAATGTTTTTATTTTACTTTTTTTAAGCTTTAAAGAGTGTAAATAAACCCTCAAAGGCACTGTTAGAGACAGATATATGTTGGAAGGTGAATAGTTTTAAGAAATTGTCTCCCTACTTAAAAATGTGTGTGCTACTGTATTTTATCAGATCAATCCTAATTACAAGTTTATTTATTAAGATAATAGAATCTTGGGGCCAGGGCATACCAAAGGCCTGGGTAATATTTTAGCCACCCCTGATTTGTGAAGGATGTGATCGCTTTGCCCGTAATTAATAATGTAACTGAAATTTATAATTGGATTTATAACTCTGAACTCTAGTTTCCTCCTTTGTGTCTCTTACATGTCAACCCTATATCTGAATGTTCATGCAGCATGTCTGTTCCTGCTTTAGAAGTGGAATTCCCATCTCACAAGCTATAAAAGAACAGCAGGCATCCTACCCAAATATCTAGGCTTTTAGAAACTGTTGCAGCAAGTCCTCCCCACTAGCCCTTCTCACAAAAGTAAATATCACAAAATGAGGCTTTCGCTCAAGAAATATATAGGGAAAGAGCTGAACTAGCTATAAGATGAATCTGATCGAGTTTACCTTTGCCAACTTGCAATTAACATCCACATGTGTATTCAGCACAGTCTCCACTATTGAACAGCAATCCATTAGATGTTTCAGAATCATTTGACAGGTGTGATATATGAACTGATCAGCATTCTTTTTTGTTGTCTAGCAATACTGCTCTTGGTTGCTCATCTGTGATTATTAACACTGTCCTTAATTCCAATAATGTTTCTTAGTAAATTAAGCAAAATATAATATACTTACGTTGAACTTTATTATGTCATATATCAAATACCGAGGGACAACCTGGCCATTCACTTTGTCAATAATCATTTCCTTTAAAAACAGAAGAAAAATTGTATCTCAACAGGTATGAAAGAGCTTGCAAATCGCATCAACTAACTTATTTTAAACATTTATTTTGCACTAACTAATGTTGCAGTTTTCCAGGAGGATTTTTATTCAGGATTTGGTGGGGAGCAGAACCCTTTGTCTAAAACCAAAATCAACTGGGCAGCTGGTGGCAGACGAGAGACAAAGAGGACTAAGACAGGTAAATTAAACATGCACTACATGTACAGTATTGCATCACTGGAGGCTGAATAATGCATGATAGTAAAAAGTCCGTAAAATTTTATATTAACATTGGTTTCTGTTAGTGGCAATAATGCAATAACAAGATTCCTTTGACTGCAAAATCGATCACAGTATGCATAATATAAGCATGCTTAACGTTTAGATCTGATTGTTCAAAGAAGAGATGTCTGCTAACACATGCCCAATCCAAGATGGAGTATGTTTCAGGGCTCAGATACATAGAAATGAGCAGATGCAGTTTTAGAAAACATAGGGCCATTTTTTCCACAAAACCAGAAGTCACTTTCAGCCAAAAATACCATGACAGAGAGGGTCCTCACTGACACTGTCTAGGAAAGGCTGCTAGTGAAGTGATGGATATGCTCATTTACTTTAACACTGAATTTTAGCTTTTTTGTTTGGTATCTAGGACCTGTTTGCTGTGTTTGTTTGTTTGTCTGTCAGTCTCTCTGTGTCTGTTTATAAATGAGATGTACAGTAGACCAGCTGAACAACTGCCTGGAAAAGAAAGCTGTAAAGATTACAATAGGCCACTGTATCACAAGGAAAAGATGTAGCTGGAAATTCATCTCCCTCCATATTCAAGTCAGGGTGATGTATTCTTCCTTATAGTTTTTATTAGCATGAAATCAATAAGCAAGCCCAATACCAGGAATGTTATTGAGCTCTGGGGTAATATCAGAGAACAACAAAAATGCATCATTGGGGGTTGTTATCATCGTTATGTTGCCATGGAAACTAAAAATGAGTAGATTTTCACTGGATAGTGTACTTGAGTTACCACGTAGAGTTCTGAATAGCTGGTATAACATTCTCAACAACTAATACTTTTGATCACAAAGCGAAAAAGGCATCTCTAATGCATATGGTCGACATTTAATGTGAAGGTGTCCCCCTTTTTCTTTCTTTTTTTACATTTAGTACTGTGTTTCCCTGAAAATAAGATAGGTCTTGTATTAATTTTTGATCCAAAAAAACACATTAGGGCTTATTTTCAGGAGATTTTTTTTTCATGTACAACAATCTACATTTATTCAAATACAGTCATGCAATTGTCTTCTGGTTGCTGCATAATGATGAAAGGCAGGATTTAACTGGGGCTTATTTTGGGGGTAGGGCTTATATTACGAACATCCTGAAAATCATACTAGGGCTTATTTCCAGGTTAGGTCTTATTTTCGGGAAAACAGTGTACATTTCAAAAGTCTGTTCAGACCAGTATTAAAGAGAAAAGTAACCAGGAAAACTAGGAGTACTGTACCTGTTGTTGACAAGCTTGTTGTTAAATGTTCTACACTTTTGTTACACTGTCTATTATAACCTTGAATTGTTTTTCATAGAGCTATCTTTCTATTTCCCTCTCCAGGACCAGTTTCAAGTATTTCCAATGCCACATTACATGCTGGAGGCACCACTATGCAACTAACCATTGAACACCATTTATAAGCTCAGCATGATAAGATTTTTTGCAGTTTTGACAAGACAAGGATTGGTATGATGGAACCATCCAAAAGCCACTAGATTTTCTTTTTCATGGTCCAGGGCAATTTCAAATGAAGGTGGAATTTCCTTAGGGCATGTCACATTCTGCCTGCAGGTGAGGAGGCTGAAGGAAAAGTGCATGGAAGAAGTCTCACTCATAATCACCACCCTATTTGCCCTACTTTTTTAAAGCAGCTTCATATGTTCTACCAGAGGATGAATATGTGCATCATATCAGAACATAAAAATGCAAGCATATTTTAAATTTTTGCATATTAACTTGTGTGACCCTTTCTTAATTTTTAATGTGCATGTACTCTATATAATGTTTGTTGTCAGGTACTTATTCTGCAGCTGTGTAAATCCTTAGTGAATACACTACTCTCATCTGACTGACACTTCTGGAACCTCTTCCTTCCACATCTTCCCAGTTCTGTATCTTTGGTGACTATCAAATTGGAAGTTAAGAGTTCAGTGCTAACTTATTTTCAATGTATTCTGTACCCAGTCAATCTTCCTCTGAGCTGCTTGCCTGCTAGTCTATCCTTGCCATCCTGTAACAACTTGGTAAATCCAGCTCACTTTCATGTAGGAGTGAAGGGGAAGCTAGCTCTGTTTTATTTGGCTTAACAGTATCATTGAATGCCATCAGACTACCAAGGCTACCTAATTTCAGTGGTTTCCTAAAAAGCTATAAAAGTATAATTGAGAGTAGTCAGGTGAGGGGAAAAATTGTGCAATCAGTGATAAGGAATGAGCCTAGAGGTACTGATCTTCATATCAGTATGGTCATTTTAGTAGAAACTTAGCTGACCCCTGAGGTTTCAGATTTTATCATATACTGGCTAATGGTCAAAAGAAAAAATACTATCTCCCTTAAGCAAAGCAGAGAATTCACAAATGTAACACTAGATGATCAAGTTATTCAGGAAAATAATGTTGTCTCTGTGATTGTATATAAACACATAAGAGAAATATACCTTCCTTTTTTTTCTTTTACAACTGTCATCTTGTCCGCAGTTTAAAGACAGGTTAAGATTAATCTTAATCCTCTCTATTCATTAAGATCTCTTCATTTTCATTATGAACATTATGATCCCTTTGGATAAAGTCCACAACCTTTTCGATGAGCCTGTGGTAACTAGGACATCTACTTAATCTTCCTATCCTGGCTCTTACTTGTGGTGACCACTGACCTTCCCCGCTCCCCTCCATAACTTCTCAATATTGTAAGGTAGTGTTAAGTAATTTTAGTGGGCTTAGGGGCCAATATTTTTTGCTCCAAGTCCCCATGCAGAGGTGAGCCAAGCAAAAGAACTGACCTTTTGCGTGTCTGCTTTTCAAAATGTTAAGAGAAAGTGCACAGACTAGCACTTCCATTTAGTTTCCCTTTCCTTTCATTCTCATTGGCAGGGTCATCAGGTTGTTTCAGGCTAATCCCTCCCTTTTTTTAAAGTTTGAGGGACCTTAGGATGGGGTAGCGAAAAACGCCTCACATCGCACATGATGCGCACCCCTGCACTTTAAGAATAGAGTTGTGTTGGTTATATCCTTCTCCAAATCCCAAATCTCTGGTTGTGACAGAAAAAAATTGTGCGTCTCCCCGAGTCTTCCCCCACTGACAGTCTAATGTGTATCATTATGAGATCTGATTGCAAATTTTCCCTGAACTACCAAGGATGGATAAACTAATAAAATTATGTGGTCATCACTTATCACAACATTCATCTCAGATTCTGAAATCCTGAACTAAAAATAGAAGCATATAGTACATAAGGACATAATATCTTACCCCATCCAAGAGAGTATTTTCTAAATGGGCACGTGGATCTTTACGAAATGGAAACTCCAGATTAGATACATGAAATACAGAGTTATCTCTGTCTATCATATACACTTCATTCTTGCCATCAATCAACATCATATATCTATGAAGAAAAAAGAACAGAACATTAAAACACTCTTTCTTCCACAACATTTTAATTCAATGGCTGAAACACTCTTGCTTAGCATTGTACACTGCACTGGAGTAGACCCAGTAAATCATTGGGGATTTTGGTGAGTCAACCCCTCCACAAGTTCCATTGATTCAATTGAGCCTATTCTATTTGTAATTTATTATGCTAAAGTAAGTTGCAACAGAAGTAGGCCCATTTAAATCAATCAATCTTAAGAAGGAGCTGACTCACCAAATCTCTGCTGAATCAATGAGTCTATTTGAGTGTGATTTAGAAGGTCAGAGATACAGTACTAGGATTTCAGCTATTGTATATTTTAAAATTACTGAAGTACACTGGCCATAGACAAGTTACAAACTTGTCACCTATATGTTTAAAGTCATACAAACAAGAACTATTTCAGAAATGAGGGATCAAGACCCAAAGAATAATTGGTGTTTGGTGCTAGCAATCCAGACAGGTGTTTGAATGTTTATTTCTTTACAGCAAGAACAAAGACCTACTATTAACCATATAGCTTCATCTTTCAATTGTGCATGGCAGCACTAGTAAAACAAATGCTGAAAAAATTAAGAATACAGTCAATGAGTGCAATAGCTCATATCTGTATGCTAATGTTTGAACTACTGCAGGGTGCAGCATAATTCCATCTGTCCATATTAGAAGAACTGGAAACCAAAGATAGAAATTATTTATACTTAATATACAAGAATACATGGCACCACATCGTTCTGCAAACTTGTAGGCAATGAGTGCAATAGCTCATACAGTATCTGTGTGCTAAAATTTGAAATACTGCAGGGTGTGGCATAATTCCATCTTTCCATATTACAAGAACTGGAAATCAAAGATAGAAATTATTTATAGTTAATATACTAGAGTCTCAGAACAAAGAAACTATGTTATGCAACATATGGAACAATAGGCCTTTAATGTAAACCTGTCCAGTCACTAATGTACATTTTAGTTACTTTGAGTCAAATGAATAGTATAATTACAATATGGGGCAGTTTAAAATTGGTTGAAAAAATTAGCACATCTGGAATCAATTAAAGCAAAAAGATAAAGATGTCTATTTCAGTACCCTGACTCAGAAAATCTGAATTATCTGTCATTGTTCTCTTTATGCCAGTGAATATCTAACTCACTGCTTTCCTAAAAGAAAATATTCCTGAATAACAAACTAGTTCAAATTCTGTTTCTTTAAGTCCAATATAACAGCATCCCCTATATAATAAAGGTAAAACAATCTGTCCTCTGGGTGCCTTTGTTTAGATGTATAAAGCTTATTCGTGACACTAAAGAACAACAAATATCAAAAGGAGTGCAGATTATTATGCTGAAATAACCTGACTTTGAAAGATACATCTATGCATGTAGATAACAATCTCTTGAGCAGCAGACACTCCTCCTAAAATCCATAACATACGGGTTCTGGGTTTCAATTTCCACAATCCTCAATCAGTATGGCCAATTGCCAATTACTATGGGAATTGTAGTCTGAAAATCTGAAAGGTACCAACTTTTCCTGATTTTTCCCATAATGATGCAGTGCAGCACACCCCATTCAATTGTTGCTGGCAAACATTTTAAAAAAATATGTGTGATAAACATAAACGTATGAGAATGTGCTTACAAAACATACAAAAGCACATAGCAGGTCACCCAAGTAGGTTACAGATCAGGTTGTAGCCCTCCCAAGATCTCAAATTAAAGTAACATATTTTTCACTCCATAAGACAGTTTTTTCCCCAAAAAAAGTGGGGGAGAAAGTATGTGAATTCCCCCAAAAAAGTGGGGGAGAAAGTATGTGAATCTTAATGGAGCAAATACTATTTTTAAAAAAGGGTTCTAGCACCATCACCCAGAAGCCTCCCACCACCATGCTGGGAGGCCTCTGAACTGGCACCAGAGGCTGCTTGCTGTGACAGCCACATTAGACCTCACCACTCTGCCATCTACACTGCTGGCTTTCCAGGATCTGCCTCCTGGAGCCCACCTGGAAAACCAGCAGGGCCAACAGGCCTATGGCAGCAAATTTAAATGGCAGAGGGCAGTGAAAACAGGCAAGGACCAAAGGGGAAAGAGTGATTCTTAAAAAGCCTAGGGGAAACCACAAACACAGTCCCCCACTACCATAAATTAGGCAGTTGAGTTCCCCACATTTGGGGAAATCACAGGGATTAGCACACCTGAAGTGCAATGGACAAGCCTTACCCTAGGAAAATCACTTTCATGATCATGGTATCTCCCCTGCCAGGTATGAGTTGGAGTGGCCCCTGCACCTCCT